GCGATCGGCCCAAGGTTATCTAGAGTCACCAAAGCGGGCCGGGGCTGGAGCTCCCCCCACGGAGAGAGGAACCGCGCCCCGCATGGGTTTTGGGTCTGATAAATGCACGCATCCCCGACGGCCCCACGCCCCGCGAAGGACGAGGGGGCCGGCTCAGCGCTCGTTTGCATGTATTAGCTCTAGAATTGCCACAGTTATCCAAGTAACGGTAGAGCGATCAAAGGAACCATAACTGATTTAATGAGCCATTCGCAGTTTCACTGTACCGGCCGTGTGTACTTAGACTTGCATGGCTTAATCTTTGAGACAAGCATATGCTACTGGCAGGATCAACCAGGTAGACCCCCAGCGGGCGGGCGGCCCCCCGGGAACGGAGGACGGCCCTCGGCTGCAGCACGAGCGCCCGTGTTGTTCTGGGTGCGGTGGGAGAAAGCGTGTGAGAAACGGTGACGTCTGGAGCCGCCGCCGCAGAAGCGGGGGAGACGGAGGGAGACGGTCCCGAGCCGGGACCGGACCCCCGCGGCGGGGCCCCAGCGGAGGACCGCTGGGAGAGACGGGGCGTCTGGGTCTCGCTGAGGAGGGACGGCCGCGGGCAGACGCGCAGCTCGGCTGCGTTCGCGCCCGGGCCTGGAGGCGAGCCTGCAGGCTGGAGGAACCGTCCGCCGAAGCGCCGGTGCTGGGCACCGAGGCAGGCGGGGGCCCTCCACGGCAGGCCACGTGTGCTTATCGGTCGGGTCGGAGACGCGGGCTGGGAGCCAGACTTCCGACGGGCACGTGGGACGGACCGTAATCCGCTCACGGTGCACTGCGGTCGGCTTGGCTGAAGCCAGACCCCGGGGGACACTGACGGAGCTCCAACAGAACCAGGGAGCCGTCCACGGACTAATTACAGCCCAGGACAGACTCACCAGAGCGGCCGGAGACCGCCAGCCAAGCAACAGGTAGATCCAGGGACTTTCAGAGCTTCTACACACATGGAACCGTGAGCGGGGAAAAACGATCAAAAATGACCAAAGACAACATAATTCACCCATGTAGCTTCTCACCTGAGGCCAGTGAAGGCCCCTGGATGGGTCAATGGTCAAAACTCCGCTCTTTTTACTGGTTCTCTGTGTCTCGAAAAACCCTCTCCTGAAATCCTGCCGGTGGGGTTTTGTCTTTCTGTGAACTGAAAGTACTATTTTCCCCGATTGGGCGGGGCTTAAGCGCGTGTCAAGGGGGGGCAATGCTTTGTATACCCGGAAACCCATTTTTCATTTCTCCCGGCTCCTGTGAGCGTGCTAAAAATCATTCGACCGCACAGGGCTGTGCTCCGGAACACGGGCTACCGGCCCGTGGTGCGTTTTTCCCGGATTTCGGCCTTTTTGACCGATTTTCGAACGCTTTTCCGGCGCGACTTCCGCCGCTTGCCTCGCAGCGGGGGAACCGCGTAGAGACGCGACACCCACCCCGAATTGTTCTCCTGGCTTAGGCCTTCACGGGGATATATGGCTTCCCCGGGTTGAAAGCGTTTTCACCCGCTCTACCGGAGGTTGAAGTTGACCGGGCGGAAAAACGGCACTCTTTCGCGGCTTAAAAATCGGGGAAACGGTATAAAAATCAGAGACCCACGCCGAATTGTTCTCCTCAGCGAGACCTTTAAAAGCATGTATGGCTTGCCCGGGTGGCATTCATTTTTACCCGCTTTTTCGCAAGTTGAAGTTGACCGACCGGAGCGAAAACTCACAGGCGGAATCCACCACTCAAGCACGGGGGAGAGGAGCGAGACTGCAGCCTCTATGAGAACCGGGGGGCCACGCTCCGGAGCCACTCAACCCGGCAGAGGCTCCACAATCCCGGGTAACAGAGAACCGGGACAGCAGCCTCTCTGAGAACCAGGACCTGCTGCGGAGCTACTCACCCCAGCCGTGGCTCCACATCCCCGGGTAACAGAGAACCAGGACAGCAGCCTCTCTGAGAACCAGGAATCGGTAAAGTGTTTTTAATTCTACCCGGGACAGGGGACCAGAGCCCCGGGTAACTGAACCAGGACAGCAGCCTCTCTGAGAACCAGGACCTGCTGCGGAGCTACTCACCCCAGCCGTGGCTCCACATGCCCGGGTAACAGAGAACCAGGACAGCAGCCTCTCTGAGAACCAGGAATCGGTAAAGTGTTTTTAATTCTACCCGGGACAGGGGACCAGAGCCCCGGGTAACTGAACTGGGACAGCAGCCTCTGAAACCAGGGCCTGGTGGAGCTACTCACCCCAGCCGTGGCTCCACATGCCAGGGTAACAGAGAACCAGGACAGCAGCCTCTGAGAACCAGGATCAAAATTCTACCCGCAGGCCCAGAGCCCCGGGTAACAGAACCGGGACCGCAGCCTCTCTGACAACCAGGGCCTGCTGCGGAGCTACTCACCCCAGCCGTGGCTCCACATCCCGGGTAACAGAGAACCAGGACCGCAGCCTCTCTGAGAACCAGGAATCGGTATGTAATTCTACCCGGGACAGGGGACCAGAGCCCCGGGTAACTGAACTGGGACAGCAGCCAAATACTTACCCAACAGTGGCTCCACGTCCCCGGGTGACAAACAAACATGGTGGAGACCCTGGTTCTTAGACAGGCTGCAGTCCTGGTTCTGCGTAACCCAGGCCACACACGCAGTGACAAGGGTAACACAGAACCAGGACCGCAGCCTATCTGAGAACCAGGCCCTCCATCACAACCACTTACCCCAGCCTGGCTCCACATCCCCGGGTAACAGAGAACCGGGACCGCAGCCTCTCATACAACCAGGGCCTGCTGCGGAGCTACTTACCCCAGCCGTGGCTCCAATCCCCGGGTAACAGAGAACCAGGACCGCAGCCTCTCATACAACCAGGGCCTGCTGCGGAGCTACTTACCCCAGCCTTGGCTCCACATCCCCGGGTAACAGAGAACCAGGACCGCAGCCTCTCATACAACCAGGGCCTGCTGCGGAGCTACTTACCCCAGCCGTGGCTCCACATCCCCGGGTAACAGAGAACCGGGACGCAGCTCTCTGAGAACCAGGCCCTCCATCCGAACCTGCAGACCCACACTTAAGCCCCTTCCACGGATTCAACCAACCAGTCACACGCCCAGCAGAGCCGTGCCCCTGGTAAGGGAAAATAAATAGAATTGTGGTCCTGGTAAGGCTCTGACACTTAGACTATCAGCCGGGGCTGCTGGACTTTGGTTATTTTCCTGACGCAGTGCCCCTGGTAAGGAAAATAATAGAATTGTGGTCCTGGTAAGGCTCTGACACTTAGCTATCAGCCAGGGCTGCTGGACTTTGGTTATTTTCCCGACGCAGTGCCCCTGGTAAGGCACTGGAGCTTCGGCTAAGGAGGGCCCTGCCCCCGTCGCCCGGTCCGCAAGCGGACCGGGCGACGGGGCAGGAGGGTCTGTCCCTTCGGCCTGGCGAGCCGGCCCGGTTCAGCAGGATGGAGAACCGGGCCGGCTCGCCAGGCCGAAGGAACAGACCGGGGGAAGGGGCTGGACGGCCGGTCTGTCCCTTCAGCCTGGCGAGCAGGCCCGGTTCCGCAGGATGGAGAACCGGGCCGGCTAGCCAGGCCGAAGGGACAGACCGGGGGCGGGGGGGGAAGGGGGGAGAGCACGGACCGGGAGTGCGGACCGCGTGTCGGGCAGAGGTACCGGCGTCCCCGGCCGACAGAGACCCGTGGAGGCAGCCTCTGTCACCATCGGGAGCTGCTGCAGCGCCGGGGACAACCGCCGGCACCACGCAGCCCATTTGCGTGACCCAATTTCGGGGTGCCTAACCCCACTTAGGGTCCTAAGAGGGCTGCCGCACTTGCGGCCGGGTGACCGCGATTCGGACGCCGTGGAGGGCGCACCGCAGAGCGGGGGCCGCCTGCTGGAAGGGACCGCCAATCCAGTCCCTGGATCCATCCCGGCTCTTGGGGCGGACTCTGCGCCCCGCCCGGCCGCAGGTGCGCTGCGGCCCGATTGCCCGCAGCTGCACCGCATCAGGCCTGATTAGGACGCCGGCTCTTGGCCAGGGGCATGTGCTCGCCGGCCTCAGTCGGAGTTTTGCAGCAGCAGGTGAGGAGCAACATGACCGCGTCCAAGTTCGTGAACCGATGTCCCGTGTGCTCACGCAAGTCCTGGCGGCTGCGTGAGCACCTGGACGAGAAGCACAAGGTTAGGAATCGGTGGAGCGTCGTGTCCTCCTGGCGTTTCGCCAGGGGGCCAGGGTGAACGTCAAGGGATGCCGTGTCCGGTGCAGCGCTGCGGGTACGACGGCCGCCGTGTGCAGCAGCACCTGCAGGAGTCCCACCGCGACATGGGTCAGCGGCAGAAGCGGCGTCTTCTGGCCGGCTGCAGTGGCAGAAGACGCTGGAGAAGCTGCGGCAGCTGAGGCGCTCGGACCCCACCCACCCATGGCTACCGGGCTGGACCTGCCGGAGGCAGGCGACAGGGCCCCGGCAGAGGCGGAGGCGGAGGTTCGGCCATCCCGCAGCTCACCTCCGCAACGCAGACCGGTGGTGGAGGATGAGGAGGAAGAGCAGGACGACGAGGAGGACATGCAGGCGGAGGACCAGGGGGCGCAGGAGGAGCCGGAGGAGCCTGAGCTGATGGAGGTAGACCACCACCACCACGACGGGGGCTCAGCTCCACCATCGCCGGGACCACCCTTGCCTCCCAGCCCCGACGAGCCACGTTCCCGGAGCGGGGAACCAGCAGGACCAGCAGGACCCGCAGGAGGGCGGATCCAGACGGCAGAGCCCGACCTCGACCACGCCTGCGGACCCACAGAGCCCACCGAGCCCACCGAGCCCACAGAAAACCGGTGCGTACAACTTCCACTTTCCTGAGTGTGTCATGCAGTATTTGGCCGGGTACAGGAGGCACCTGGTGGTGCCTCCCGTCGAAGAAGCATGTGGAGAACGCCAGGTCCAAGATGGGCAGAGTGGACCAGTTCCTGCGCAGGATGGCCGAGGGAAAGAGCGGCCTGGAGACCTGGCGGTTCATGGTTGATGCCGACAGGGTCCTCGGCTGGCCGGCGGGACCTGCTCAAGCAGGGCAAGCAGATAACGACAGTGAAGGTGTACCTGGTCAACACGGGTCAGTTCCTGACCTACTTCACGGAGACTCCGCCTGAGACCTCCACCGTGCCCCAGCATGGACTCGTCTCCGTCTCGCGGGCCCTGAAATCCGCCGCGGGGCAGATCTCAACCACGGTGGTGCTGCACCAGATACAGGTCAAAGACCAGAAGGAGAAACGCACTGTTTCAGCGCCGGTTCTGCGCAGGTGTCTGGAGGAGTGTCGCAGATGGATCCCGGAGCTTTTGCGCGACTCATCGCGGAGGAGGCACGACGTGGTCCTGCGATACCAGCTATTCGGTTGCTTCGCGCTGTTGGTCGCTTCTCTGTACGGCCACAGAGCAGGCGTGGTCCGCAACATGACAGCTGCTGAGGTACGAGAAGCCGAGGATGGACACCGGCGCGACTCCTCCGGCTATGTCATTAACGTAAGTGCCCCGTCCCAGCGAGCACTTCATCCCGGAGGCAGAACCAGGGGCCCTGGTAGCAGAGAACCGTGACTGCAGCCTCTCGGTTGAACCCATCAACCGAGAGGCTGCAGTCACGGGCCTCTGCGAACCAGGACTCCAGCCCAACAACTTACCTTCCTTCCCCAGCAGAGAGCTCCACATTCCAGGTCAGAAACTCACCTCTGCTGTCCTCGTCTGTCTGTCCCTCCATCCCGCAGGTGAGACAACACAAGACGGCCAGGGCTTTCGGGAGCGCCCAGCTCTTCCTGACGCCGGAGGAGTTCGGATGGCTAAAGAGCTGGATGACCATACGCAGCAAGCTGCGCCCCAGACCGACCTGGTGTTTTTCAACTGCAACGGAGGACCGGTACACAAGCTGACCTCCTTCGCCCGGGACGCATGGGCGAGGATGCGCCTGCCTGGATCCCCCTCCCTGACCGACATACGCACGCGGTAGCCACGATGGTAGGTAGACCTGAGCTTCGTCCCCAGCCTTGAGCTTTCTCCACGGTCCCTCTCACTCTCTCTCTCTCTCTCTCTCTTCACAGGCGAGGGACACCCAGTGCACGGAGGTCCGAAGGCAGATGTCACACTTGATGTGTCACGACACCAGAACCGCGGACCGTTTCTACGCGATGCAGCTGAGTGTGACCCAGTTGGCCGCCATGCGCAGGACCTTCGACGTGTCCAGGGGCGACGCTGAGCAGACTGTGGATGAATAATGTGTGCTGGTTCAATAAAGCCTCCTTAAACGACTCTTGCCCGTGTTTTGTGCTTGTTTTATGGGTAAAATCCTGTTCTTCCGTGAGAACCAGGAACGGTTAAAGGGGCTGATGCGGAGCTACTCATCCCCGCAGTGGCTCCACATCCCCGGGTAACAGAGAACCAGGATGGCAGCCTCTCTGAGAACCAGGGCCTGCTGCGGAGCTACTCACCCCAGCCGTGGCTCCACAATCCCGGGTAACAGAGAACCGGGATGGCAGCCTCTCTGAGAACCAGGGCCTGCTGCGGAGCTACTCACCCCAGCCGTGGCTCCACATCCCCGGGTAACAGAGAACCGGGACTGCAGCCTCTCTGAGAACCAGGGCCTGCGGAGCTACTCATCCCCGCCGTGGCTCCACATCCCCGGGTGACAGAGAACCGGGACAGCGGCCTCTGTGAAAGATTGTACATATGGTATGGCTGCTGCTGCTCCGGGATGCATCTCCGGGCATCTCCGGCCGCATCCCCGGGCCGATTCTCCAGCCTGCTGCTCGGGGCTGCATCTCCGGCCGCATCCCCGGGCCGATTCTCCAGCCTGCTGCTCGGGGCTGCATCTCCGGCCGCATCCCGGGCCGATTCTCCAGCCTGCTGCTCGGGGCTGCATCTCCGGGCATCTCCGGCCGCATCCCCGGGCCGATTCTCCAGCCTGCTGCTCGGACATCCATGCTGTTGGCAGATCTGGTGCATGGGACATGCCCTGGAGCGGTCCACGGCCGAAGGCACGCTCATATTCAGGGCTAGGTGGTCTTACAAACCTTCTGTTGTAATCCTGCCGGCGGGGCTTTGGACATCTGTGTGCTCAAAGTGCTATTTTCCCCGATTGGGCAGGGGCTTAAGCGCGTGTCGAGGGTGGCCGATGCTTTGTACACCTGGAAAGCCATTTTCATTTCTCCCGGCTCCTGTGAGCGTGCTAAAAATCATTCGACCGCACAGGGCTGTGCTCCGGAACACGGGCTACCGGCCCGTGGTGCGTTTTTCCCGGATTTCGGCCTTTTTGACGGTTTTCGAACGCTTTTCCGGCGCGACTTCCGCCGCTTGCCCCGCAGCGGGGGAACCGCGTAGAGACGCGACACCCACGCCGAATTGTCTCCTGGCTTAGGCCTTCACGGGGATATATGGCTTCCCCGGGTTGAAAGCGTTTTCACCCGCTCTACCGGAAGTTGAAGTTGACCGGGCGGAAAAAACGGCACTCTTTCGCGGCTTAAAAATCGAGGAAGCCGCGGCGGAAACGGCAGGACCCGCGCCGAATTGTTCTCCTCAGCGAGACCTTAAAAGCATGTATGGCTTGCCCGGATGGAATTCATTTTTACCCGCTTTTCCGCAAGTTGAAGTTGACCGTGCGGCCAAAGAGGCTCTTCCCAGGTATGGCTGCAGAGCCCCGGGTGACAAACAACCGTGGCTGTGGTTCCTGGTTCTCAGAGAGGCTGCAGTCCTGGTTCTGTGTTACCCAGGTCACACACACAGTGACCCGGGTAACACAGAACCAGGACTGCAGCCTCTCTGAGAACCAGGAACACCAGCCTAAATACTTACCCCATCCAAAATACTTACCTGAAACCAGGCCTGGAGCTCAAGTACACTGCAGTTGACCTCTGGCCTCAGCCAGGGAACAACCAGGACTTGCTAAACTGTCTTTAATTCTACCCAGGAGAGAGAACCAGGGCCCTGGGGAGGAGAGGAGCAGGACCAACAGCCAAAATACTTACCTGAAACCAGGCCTGGAGCTCAAGTACACTGCAGTGACCTCTGGCCTCAGCCAGGGAACAACCAGGACTTGCTAAACTGTCTTTAATTCTACCCAGGAGAGAGAACCAGGGCCCTGGGAGGAGAGGAGCAGGACCAACAGCCAAAATACTTACCTGAAACCAGGCCTGGAGCTCAAGTACACTGCAGTTGACCTCTGGCCTCAGCAGGGAACAACCAGGACTGCTAAACTGTCTTTAATTCTACCCAGGAGAGAGAACCAGGGCCCTGGGGAGGAGAGGAGCAGGACCAACAGCCAAAATACTTACCTGAAACCAGGCCTGGAGCTCAAGTACACTGCAGTTGACCTCTGGCCTCAGCCAGGGAAACAACCAGGACTTGCTAAACTGTCTTTAATTCTACCCAGGAGAGAGAACCAGGGCCCTGGGGAGGAGAGGAGCAGGACCAACAGCCAAAATACTTACCTGAAACCAGGCCTGGAGCTCAAGTACACTGCAGTTGACCTCTGGCCTCAGCCAGGGAACAACCAGGACTTGCTAAACTGTCTTTAATTCTACCAGGAGAGAGAACCAGGGCCCTGGGGAGGAGAGGAGCAGGACCAACAGCCAAAATACTTACCTGAAACCAGGCCTGGAGCTCAAGTACACTGCAGTTGACCTCTGGCCTCAGCCAGGGAACAACCAGGACTTGCTAAACTGTCTTTAATTCTACCCAGGAGAGAGAACCGGGGCCCTGGGGAGGAGAGGAGCAGGACCAACAGCCAAAATACTTACCTGAAACCAGGCCTGGAGCTCAAGTACACTGCAGTTGACCTCTGGCCTCAGCCAGGGAACAACCAGGACTTGCTAAGCTGTCTTTAATTCTACCCAGGAGAGAGAACCGGGGCCCTGGGTAACAGAACTGGGACAGCAGCCTCTCTGAGAACCAGGCCTGGAGCTCACCCAGTGAGAACCAGGAATCGGTAAAGTGTTTTTAATTCTACCCGGGACAGGGGACCAGAGCCCCGGGTAACTGAACTGGGACAGCAGCCTCTCTGAGAACCAGGCCTGGAGCTCACCCAGTGAGAACCAGGAATCGGTAAAGTGTTTTTAATTCTACCCGGGACAGGGGACCAGGGCCCCGGGTAACTGAACTGGGACAGCAGCCTCTCTGAGAGAACCAGGCCTGGAGCTCACCCAGTGAGAACCAGGAATCGGTAAAGTGTTTTTAATTCTACCCGGGACAGGGGACCAGAGCCCCGGGTAACTGAACTGGGACAGCAGCCTCTCTGAGAACCAGGCCTGGAGCTCACCCAGTGAGAACCAGGAATCGGTAAAGTGTTTTTAATTCTACCCGGGACAGGGGACCAGAGCCCCGGGTAACTGAACTGGGACAGCAGCCTCTCTGAGAACCAGGCCTGGAGCTCACCCAGTGAGAACCAGGAATCGGTAAAGTGTTTTTAATTCTACCCGGGACAGGGGACCAGGGCCCCGGGTAACTGAACTGACACAGCAGCCTCTCTGAGAACAGGCCTGGAGCTCACCCAGTGAGAACCAGGAATCGGTAAAGTGTTTTTAATTCTACCGGGACAGGGGACCAGAGCCCCGGGTAACAGAGAACCGGGACGGCAGCCTCTCTTAGAACCACAGCCAAAATACTTACCCCAGCAGTGGCTCCAAGTCCCCGGGTGACAAACAAACATGGTGGAGACCCTGGTTCTTAGACAGGCTGCAGTCCTGGTTCTGTGTAACCCAGGCCACACACGCAGTGACAAGGGTAACACAGAACCAGGACCGCAGCCTATCTGAGAACCAGGCCCTCCACCACAACTACTTACCCCAGCCTTGGCTCCACACCCCGGGTAACACAGAACCACCAATCCAGCCTCTCTTAGAACCAGGCTCTCCATCCGAACATGCGTACCCACACTTAAGCCCCCTTCCACGGACTACACCAAACAGCCACACGCCCAGCAGAGTCGTGCCCCTGGTAAGACAAAAAAAAGAGAAAAAGACTTAGGCTTTTGCTCAGAGTTCGTGCAACTGGTAAGGTGGTGACACTTAGGCGAAATGCAGGGTGTGGGACTTAAGCCTTTTTAAGGGGTTTTGCGCCCCTGGTAAGGCGCTAGTACTTAGGAGAAATCCAGGGTGTAGGACTTAAGCCTTTTAAGGGGTTGTGCGCCCTGGTAAGGCTCTGTTACTTAGGAGAAATCCAAGGTGTAGGGCTTAAGTCTCTGTCTTCCACGCTCCGTGCCCCTGGTGCAGTCAAGGGGCGTACGAGCTCCGACGGGCGGAGAGGGGGGGCTCAGGTCTCCCCACGAAGGGGAGGCCCCGACCGGCCCCAGGGGACCGGCGGCCCCCTCTCCGCTCTGGAGCGTGGCGGATGGGACTTAGGCTCTGAGCAGAGCCGGGCGGCTCGTGCCTATGGTATGGTATAGATCAATAGGGAGGGGAGGGGAGGCCCGGAGGTCGGCCGACAAAAGGTTGGATCGAGGGCTGACTCTCAATGGATCGCAGCGAGGGAGCTGCTCTGCCACGTACGAAACCCTGACCAGAATCAGGTCGTCTGCAAGTCATTTAGCACCGCGTTCTCCGAACATGCTGTGCGCGAACGGAGAGGGGTGGCCATCGTCCGGCCACGCCCCGGCCCAGTCGCGGGAGGCTCTCCTCGCCGACCGACCCGCGGGTCGGTCGGGTATCGGAGACCGACGAAGCGATGCGGCGCTACGGTATCGTTACGTCTAGGCGGGATTCTGACTTAGAGGCGTTCAGTCATAATCCCACAGATGGTAGCTTCGCCCCATTGGCTCCTCAGCCAAGCACATACACCAAATGTCTGAACCTGCGGTTCCTCTCGTACTGAGCAGGATTACTATTGCAACAACACATCATCAGTAGGGTAAAACTAACCTGTCTCACGACGGTCTAAACCCAGC